TTTCTCCTCCTCTTCAACCACCTACTCCTCCTCCTCCTCCTCCTCCATCTCCTTTCCTTCTAACTTGCACAAATTCATATCCAAGTCTTTTCTACAGATATGGCGACTACAAGGTTGACCGCTTGATTCCCCCCCCAAAAAAACATGGATTGTGGCAGTCATGTGATATCCTTTTTGAGCCCTTCGCCAAAGACTGCCTGACACGCCCAGTGCCTTACGTTCACGCAATAAGCCTTCCGATCCAGACCCGACGTAAGGCACCACTCCGCTGTACCCTGTCAGGAGCCCATGAGGGTTGCGACGCCGGTGCAGTCTGCAGCTCCGCAGGGGGGGGGGGGGGGGGGGCGGAATCTAGTTCCGACCTGCGTGGGGTACCATTCCGCTGGACCTCCCGAGAGCCCGCGAGGGTGACGACGGGTGCGCAGATTGCAGCCCCCCCCCAGGGACGGCGAGGTCTGGCCTGGGTGCGCGTAGGACACCACTGCGCTGGCCCCTCCCATGAGCCCACGACAGTGGCGACAGTTGCACACATCGCAACCGCCTGGGCACGGCGAGGTCCGCTCTACTGCGCTGTCCCTCCCAGGAGCTCACGAAGGTGACGACATGTGCACACATCGCAGTCCGCCAGGGACGGCGAGGTCCAGCCTGGGTGTGCCTAGAACACCACTGCGCTGGGTCCCCCAGGAGCTCACATAATGGCGACGTTTGCGCTGATCGCAGCCGCCCATGGACGGCGAGGTCGAGTCTGGGTGTGCGAAAGAAACCTCTGTGCTGGCCCTCTCAGGAGCTCAAGGAAGTGGCGACAGTTGCGCAGATCGCAGCCGCCCAGGGACGGTGATGTCGAGCCTTGGTGTGCGGAGGAATCTGCTGCGCCGGCCCTCCCAACGCTCACGAAAATGGCGGCAATTGCGCAGATCGCAGACGCAGAGGAACCGCGAGTTCTAGTATGGATGTGCGCAGCCACTGAGCTGGCCATTCCAGAGCTCCCGAGAGTGGCGACAGTTGCGCAGATCGCAGCCGCTCGGGGACGGCGAGGTCTAGTCTGGATGTACGCAAGGCACCACTGCGCTGTCCCTCCCAAGAGCTCACGAAAGTGGCGATAATTGCGCAGATCGCAGCCGCCCAGGGACCGCGAGGTCTAGCCTGGGTGTGCCCACAACACCACTGCGCTGGCCCTCCCAGGAGCTCACGAAAGCGAAGACATGTGCACAGATCACGGCCCCCAGGGACGGCGAGGTCGAGTCTGGCTGTGCGTACGGCACCACTGCGCTGGCCCTCCCATGAGCCTACAAACGTGGCGACAGCTCCGTTGACAGCTCGCAGCCCCCCAGGAAGCGCGAGCAGAAGGACGGGACGGGCAGGCGAGAGGAGGAGGAGAAGGGTAGAGAGGAGAGAAGAGGCAGACGTCTGGAGCTCAAGCAGTGCTCTATTCAAAACGAATATCCAACCAGAGCGAGGGTTGGGAACAACTCCTCCCGTTCGCACCGCCAGACGTGTCGATAAGGCGGGCTGGGGGTTTCCCCTGAGACTTCCTCACCATGTTCCTGTAGCTGGAAATTTGCAACAGCTTCGAGGATTGAGGGCGGGTACGTTTTAAGACGTGGCTTTCGTGTTAGCGCCGCGCACATGCGTCTTTGCAAAAAACGCCGCAATCTCTATGATCGAAGGCGGGTGGTTTTCAAATAGTGTCTCTCGCCTCAGCGCCGCGCGCATTCGTTTCAGAGTTTACAGCAGTTTCAAGGATTATCATGGCAAACGACCCAGAACATAGTGTTTTGGCACGATGCCGGACTGCCTGTCAGGGCGCAACAGTTACGTTGAAAGCCCAGGAACGATGTTGTGAACCGGCTCACGATCGTCAAGACGCAAGAATAACGGTGGCTCGCGGAGTTGAAGTCCCAGAGATGTGGCGTTCTGGCAAAATTCAAAATTTCCACTGGTTGTTTTCCGTCGGGGCACTTCGTTCAGTAGAAATGAATCCTTGTAGGGGCCTATGAAGAGGGAGCGCTTGGAGGGAAGTGAGTCTTGGGTTTACACTGGCCCTCCTCCTCCTCCTCCTCCTGCTCGTCCTCCTCCTGCTCGTCCTCCTCCTCCCCGTGCTCGTGCTCGTGATCCTCCTCCCCGTGCTCGTGCTCGTGCCTTTGCTGCCGCTGCACTCCAGGGCCCCCGGGGCGGCGGAGGGCGCGGCGTGGCAACCCAAGGCCCGCCTCGTTCTCCCGCTCGGAGTCCGGCGCCTGCGGCGCCGCGGGACTCTCGCCCCGCTGCTGCCACCACCGCTCCCGAGTCTGCTCCTCCTCCTCCTCCTCCTCCTCCTCCTCCTCCTCCTCCTCCTCCTCGTCGTTCTCCACCTCCCTCCTGTGTGCGTTGAGCGGACTCCAGGTGCAAGCCTGTAGCGTTCGTCCTCCTCCTCCTCCTGTTCCTGCTCGTGCTCCTCCACCCCATGATCGTGCTCGTGCTCCTGCTGCCGCTGCTGACGCCGCCCGCTGCCGCCGCTGCCTCCGCCGCTGCAGCCTCCGCCGCTGCTGCCGCCGTCAGCTGATGCTACCGCCGCGGCTGCCGCCGATGCTGCTGCAGCCACCGCCGCCGCCGCTGCCCCCGCCGCCGCCGCACCCTTCGGTCGGAGGGCCACAGCCTGTTTGATGCTCCGGTAATGACCCGATCGCCCTGACTGACTCTGGGCTGCGCTTGCGTCCGCGCGCGGTTCGGACGCCGCTGCCACCTCCGCCTGCTGGGCATCCCCGTGGGAGGGGGGGCCACTGCTCGCCAGCGGTGCCCTCTGGAGCCGGCCGCCTCCGTGCCCTGCGGCCCAGGACGGCCGGCTTCCCATAGGCGGCTGACACGCAGAAGCCCCGCCTCGGAACTCCAACGCCCGCGAGGCCTCCCGGAGGCAGCAGCGACCCCCGCATCCGCCGCTCCGCCGCGACGCCGCGCCGCTGCGCCGCGCCGCCGCTGCGCCGCCCCGCCGTTCGGCGCGCCGCTCCGCCGCTGCGCCGCGCCGCCGCCGCGCCGCGCCGCCGCTGCGCCGCGACGCGCCGCCGCGCCGCTCCGCCGTTCGGCGCCGCGACGCGCCGCTCCGCCCCCCTTCCGCCCCGAGCGGGCGGCAGCGGCCGCCTGCGTCCGGACGGTGGCGTGCGGGAACATGGCCTGGCGCCGGGGCCCACTGGAAAAGGGGGCCAGGGCCACGGCGCATGCAAATAGACACAGAATCCAAAATCCCCCCCATGGTCCCATAGTTCCTGGATCTTCGGCTTCACCCTCCATCTCTTATGGTTCCGACACTTCCATGTGAGCTGGCACTTATCTGTGGCTGTGTCTATCTCTCCCTCCTGACCGCTGCTCTGCTGCTTCGATCTTGCCCGCCACCGGGCAGCGCGGGCGCTCCGAGCCCCGAGGCAAAGCGGGGGCGCGAACTGCGGCCAGGAGCTTTTGCTCAGCGTGGCCTGGCGGCGGCCGCGGCGACACGCTACGCCACGCGGGCGGATAGCGTGTCGCTCCGCTCCGCGGGGCGGAAGGCTCGGAGAGGCTCGGGACGCGGAAACAGATAGCGCGTCGCTCCACAACGGTGGGCCAGAACCAGCGGAGCGACACGCTGTCCAAAAGTTCCCGGCCGTAAGACGAAGCCAGGACGGGGACAACATCGGTCAGGGCTACATCGGGAATATCTGAGATCCGGCGGCTCTCAGAGCGTTCCACCCAGCTGCGAGAGTGTTCCAAAACGCTCTGGAAAGACGTTATCCTTACAGTCAACCCGTATCATAAGGATGTGCGGTAAGGACGCAAGGGCCTTGGAGGGCCATGTTGACGTTGTTCGAACGAAGTTGGCCAGCAAAAGTAGATGACGGGTCGAAGGGGACGGATGCAAGGGTAACGTAGGGAAATTGCTTATCCTTCCGATGCGCCTTGACTGTAACCGAGATAGGTCTTTAGACCCCCCCCCCAACAGGACGAGGAGGAGGAGGAGGATCAGGAGGAGAAGGCGGAGCAGGAGAAGGAGGAGCGGGGAGGTGGAGGAGGAGGAGGAGGAGGAGGAGAAGGAGGAGGAGGAGGAAGAGGAGGGTCGAGTTTGCTCCCCGCCGAGAGCAGGGGTGGGGGTCCAAAACTAAAGACACTTCTCGATTATCCTGGCCCCCCCCGCAGAGTGGCGTCATGATGCGGCCGGCTCGGGATACGCTCCGGGAATTTCGCGGCTTCCAGCGCGTCCCTCGGCTAGAGGCCTCCCAGATGGGGTCGGAGTATCTAGGGTCGGAGGATCGCCCCGCATCAGCGAGGAATCGGCGATACATCGCCGATGCATCAGCGATGCATCGTCGATGCATCAGCGACGCGTCGGCGACGTCGGCGATGCATCGGCGACGTCGTCGTGGAGGAAAGCGGGCTCCACATCGAGCCGCATCGCCGATGCATCGGCGATGCGGCGCGATCCTCCGACCCCATCTACTCCGACCCAGTCCGGGAGGCATAGATCGGCCCCTCGAGCTCGCCCCGCTGCTAGTCTCTGGCCGCGCGAGGGCCGCGGGCAGGCCTGGAGATCTTGGAACGCATCGCTGCCACGACGGCTTCGCCCCTGTGGAAAAACGGGATTGGGGGGCGCAGAGCCGAACAAGTACGAACACATCCGCACTCCTCCTGGATCTACAAGAGCCGACAACGCCCGAAAGCGTACGAACACGTCCGAACGCCTCGGGGATCTACGGACCTGGGTTAATCCAAACCCAGGTCACTCAGGCTTTGCAGGATCCTGCAGGGCCCTGCAAGATCCTGCAGGATCCTGCAGGATCCTGTGCGCTAGCCTGGATCAGTGCAACCCTGGCTTTGCAGGACCCTGCAAGATCCGGCGCTCTGGCTGACCTCAGTTTGCATTGATTGGCGGCGCACAATCAATGCAAGAAGGACCTGATTGGCGGCCCACAACCTGATTGGACCTCAGTTTGCATTGATTGGCGGCCCACAACCTGATTGGACCTCACAGAAGGGGTACGGAGGAGATGGGAAGGCTTCTTAGAAAGGCTGCTTCGTAATTTGTTGTTGGTGGGCACATGCGCAGTGTTTCGAACATGCGGCCAACGCTCTGGCACAGCGACTGAATTCACTCAGATACCAGGGTAAGTACCGCGAGGAGCAGCATGATCTGGTCGATCCTGCCCCGCAGACATCGCTGCAACGGAGAAAGAAGGCGCAGGGTCCAATGCTGAGGTCGTTCAGCTCCCCTGGCTATTGAATTATACTCTGCACGGGCTGACAAAATTCGCCGCCGCGGGGGCAGCACGACCTGGTTGACCCTGCCCCGCAGACATTGCTGCCGATAAGAAATGAGGCGAAGGGCCCAGGTTGCCACAGAAGAATTGCTTAAAAAGGCTGAGCCGTTCAGCTATCCTGGCACATGAGCTGTACTCTGCACGATCTAGATATCCACTGATTTACGCCGCACGGTCTTATCAAGTTCGCCGCCGCGGGTGACTTCTATTTATCTCTTATGACATCTTGGGTAGTTAAACGACGTCAAGAATGCGACCCTGAGGCCCCTCAGCCTGGCCGCGTACTCATAAACCCTGAGCCTCAGGTGTAATCACAGGCGCATCGCTGGTGGGCTTCTGATCCTTAGGCGAGCCCTGCTCCTTCGCGGGCATATTGAACATCGGCGAGCTACCAAGCCGGCCGAAGGCGAAAGAGTAACCACCGCCCACAAAGATGGAACCTGCGAAGATGTTCCCGAGGGTCACTGGGATGAAATTTCTCCACAGGCAATCCAGCACGGACACGTCTGCGCCGGCCATCATCCCCATGGGGATCATGAACATGTTGGCTGGGATATGCTCAAAGCCGATGGCCACGAAGCAAGAGATGGGGAACCAGATGCCCACCATCTTGCCAACCATGTCCTGTGCCTGGCCCTGCAAGAACACTGCCATGCACACCAGCCAGTTGCACCCGATTCCCTTGAGGAAGGTGACCAGGAAGTTCTCCTTGATCTTCTTCTCCGCAACCTTGCGGGCAAGCGAGGCAGTCAGGCCAACGTTCAGGTTGCAGGCTGTCACGAAGCCAGCGAAGAGCAGGGCGCCAAGCAGATTGCCAACCCAAGCCAGCGCGAAGGTCCGCAGGATCTGCATCCTGTGCAGCTTGCCCTCAAACACCGCGGCAGGCACGGTCGCCGCTGTGCCTGTGATCAGCACCCCACCTGTGAGGAGGATGAGCAGCAGGTTCACAGGGAAGAGCGCAGCGAATACAAAGGTCTGAATGGTCGGGTTGTCCTGGGCCGCGCTGTCCAGCCCGCCAGCCACCACCATCGACAGCATGCCCCCGAAGCCAATGTAGCAACCCGCGTAGAACGACTGGTGGAAGATCTTGATGGACGAATCGCCGCCCATCCCAACGCCCTTGTCCACCATGCCCATGAAAGCCTCCTTCGGGGTCTTAACGATTGACATGAGCTCCGGCATGATCGCGAACCCTGCTGTGGACAAGGGGCGCCTCTGGCAGTGGTAGAAGTCGGGGCGAGAGATGTGCAAACACAAATGCAGCCACGCCCACTCTTCAGCCAACCTTGAGCCAACCTAGAAAGGCTGCTTCGTGAAAGGCACGGGCCTCACACCCATAGAGACGGCCCGCGCCTCCTAAGAGGCAGGGGTGCTTCTAAGAAGCCTTCCTCCCTCCCCCGCTCCACCTCTGCACGAGGCCGAAAAACGGGAGGGTGGGCCTGGGGGCACTGGCCAGGCAGCGAACAACGTGGGCCCGATCTGCAGCTTGGCTCCGCGGGTCTCCTCGCTCCGCGTCTGCCGGCGGCGGATCGGAGCCCTCGTTCGGCGGTGCGCCGAGGGTGGGAGCGAGAGCGGGCAGGCCTTCTCGGAAGGTGGCGGGGCTTCTCAGAGGCCCTCCAGCCTTCCTAGAGGCTTCTCGGATGGGGTCGGAGCAGGTGGGGTCGGAGGATCGCGCCGCATCGCCGATGCATCAACGAAGCATCGGCGATGCATCGGCGACGCATCGGCGATGCATCGGCGACGCATCGGCGACGTCGGCGAAGTCGGGCCCCGCATCGCTTACGCATCGGCGATGCACACGCGTAGCGGCGCGACCCTCCGACCCTATCCACTCGGACCCCATCTGGGAGGCCTGGGCTTCTGAGGAGCCCCCCCCCTCCCCGTGGTTTCCGAGGTTGCTGGGCATGACTTCTGAGAGTTGAGCAGGGACCGACCGTCCCGGCATTTCTATAGTCCTACTACGACATTTTCGTAGAACCCAGGAATGTTCTAAGAACAAAAACAATGTTCCTAGAACATAAAACCGATGTGTTAAAACAAGACAGACTCCGCCAGAAATGTTCTAAGAACCTTCTGTGCAAAACCGCAGAAGGTTCTTAGAACATTGTTTGGTGGGGCCGTAGGCGAGCCAGGACGCTTCGCCACTGCTTCTGAGAAGGCCAGAAGGCCCTCTGATCGTCCCGGCAGCGCCGCCCCTCCTCGGGCGCCGGCTGGCATCATTGCGCCAGGACTCGGCTCTCCGGCGGCCGCTCGGGAGACGATCTCCAGGCGCGCCCGCCGGAGCGCTCTCGGCAGAGCGCCGCTGCGGGAACGCCTCCAGAGGCTGGAAGGCCGCCGAGAACCACCGAGAACGCCCGAAAGCGTACGAACACGTCCGAACGACGCCTCGGGGATCTCTACCGACCCGGGTCAATTCATCAAGACCCAGGTCGCTCGGGCTGTGCGGGATCCTGCAGGGTCCTGCAAGATCCTGCAGGATCCTGCGCGCCGGCCCGGGTCAGTGCAGCCCTGGCTCTGCAGGACCCTGCCAGCTGCGGCGCTGTGGCTGACCCCCGTTTGCATGGACCCCCGTCTCAAGCCTCCCGAGGCCGACCCCTCCCCCTCCCCCATCCCTCTCCCCCTCCTCGCCCCCTTCCTCCTCCTCCTCCTCCTCCTCCTCCTCCTCCTCCTCCTCCTCCTCCTGCTCCTCCTGCTCCTCCTTCTCCTCCTCCTCCTGCTCCTTCTCTTCCTCCTCCTCCCCCTCCTCCTCCTCCTCCTCCTCCTCCTCCTCCTCCTCGCCCTCCTCCACGATCTCTATATGGTTAGCTGGTGAAGGACCCCTAACCCTTTAGGAGGGGCCCTGCGTTGACCGCCCAGATTTAAGATCCCCAGCGCAAAGACGCGGACCTAAGTGCGGCCACATCTTCACTCTGTTGTTAAGGTTAGGTCGGGCCTGCCCCCCTACAGGAAGATTTTGGGCGAAAAATTAAAAGTGGTGAACAAAGGTTCAAAATATGCTCAACAATGATCCAAATCTCGTCCCCAGACTATGTCTACAACAATTCTTGAACATCCCTCCTGTAGAGGGACAGGCCCGAAACAATGTTAGGGCTCGGGGCTCGTGGATCCTCGACTGCCCTGCCTTCCGCCCTGAGCTCACCGCCGACTCGTGTCTCCGTGTGGGGACCCTGCAAGAGCATTTCTTCAGGAGGCGTTCGCTTGGGAGATTATATGCTCGAGAATTGGGTTCTATCACAAGCAACGGTGGCTTTATCAAGTGGAGAATCGGAGTTCTACGCCGTGGGTTCGGGCACGGCCAGGGGACTTACCATCGAGCACGAGTTGCAGGAGATGGCCGAGCTGAGGAAGGAGCAGATCAGCATGACCCTGGGAGTGAGCGCGGGCTCCGCAGCTGCGAAGGGCATGCTCCACCTTGCTGTCGCCCCTGGCGGCGGAGGCCGCGCCCCCCCCCCCCCCCCCCCCGGGGAGGCGGGCGGCGGGCGGCGCCTGCGGAGCGCGCGTGCGCGTGCTGCGCTCGGGGTGCGGCAGGAGCAGAGGTCCAGGGTTGTGGATGCCATGACAATGGACACTCTAGTGGGGGGAAGACAAACCGACCTCGCTTTTGACCACCCTCGCTTCCAAGAGTTACCAAACGATGCCAAATTGCAGCCTGTACTGGTCAGGCCGCTTGACGAGGAGGCGCGTGGTATGGCTTGGTTTTGCCTGGAAGCGAAAGCGGGGTAGGTAATTCACGCTCTGATCTAGTCGGGGATGGACAGGCCCCCCTTTGGTAAAACCTGGTTTCGTGAAAACGACCTCGGGCCCAAACCTGGCGGGCGCAAGCCTGGAAAATGACGGCCGCGGCGCCCTCTGGATAACCGAAAACGGCCAATTCACTAATCGACGTGTCAAGGTAGGAGGTCTGTCCGCCCCCGATCTAACAATCCGACCATTGAATGGAAGATGTGTTTAACATGTGTAAAGCATGTTCTAAAAAAGGTTTCAAGCCTGTTTTTAGCATCTTCAAAACATGATCGAAACATGTTTTCGACATCCTGAAAAAACACTTGGCAGCACGCTTCCTCTCCATTGATCGACTTCCACTAGTCGAGGGCCGTTCGAGGCTCGGGGGCCGAGGATCGCGGCGCCATGCTACGAGAGAGGGCGGCAGGGGCAGCCGCCCCACGGAGGGACAGAGCCACTGAGCGCAGGGCAGGCGGCCAGGGCCGCGGCGTCAGCACAGCACGGGAGGCCGCTGGGGGGCGCCACGTCGGCAAGGCGTGGAGAGCACATGCAGTCGGGGCGTTGACCTGAGGAGCCCGAAATAAGGAGCGAGGCTCCGTTTTCCCCCCAATAAGTTAAGACTTCGATTCCCATGGGAAACCTCTGGAAAACCTTAGGCAAACTGCAACACAATCAAGGAACACCGAGCCCCTCGCAAACGAAAAGGCTTCCTTTGTCAGCGCCCCGACTGTACGATCAGGCGGAAGCCAGGACCCGGACAGCATCGGACCAGGATCAACTGGGGGATCTCTGAGAGCCAACGGATCAAGAAGATGTATCGGGCGCCGCGCCCTCCAGAGCGGTCCGGAACGCTCTGGCACGATGCGTCTCACTCCGAGCCCCGCCCGACACAACGTCGCGAGGCTTTGGCGGCACCGTCCGGAAGTCTCGAACAGAGCTCCAGGGCTTGTCTGTCGAGGACCCTTCCAGCGCCGCAGCACTCGTCAGAGTCCTGGGGCCCGAGCCGAGGATCACATTTTTACGTCGCAGCGCGGCAGAGGCAATCCGCACGCGCGCTCTAGCGGGCCAGGCGACGGCAAGCTCTGGGCCCCCACGAGCCCGGAGGGCCCGAGCCGAGACCCACACACACATGCGGCGGCGCCATCGCAACCAATGACGACGTCGTCCCAGCATCCGGATGTTGTGCAGCCGGGCCCCGCCCGACGAGAGCCAGGGGAGGGAGAGAGGCGCGGAGGGGAGGGAAGGGGGATACATATATATATATATATATATATACACAAATAGATGGGTATGTGTACACATGCATATAGGAACAACAGGAACTGGCCTCCCAATCAGGCGGCTCGCACCCGGGCCCCACCATCGCAATGGGGGCAGGGGGCACGTATGTTGGCGGCGAGCGAGGGGGGGACTGAGAAGGAGAAGGCCTTCTCAGAACGCGGCAGGACTTCTCGGAAGCCCTCGTACCTTTTGAGAAGTGTTCTGTCTTCGGGGAAGGCTGAGAAAACTTCACAGAAGGCCTGGAGACTTCCGAGCCTTCCGAGAAGGCCCGCCCCTTCTCACTTCCCCCCCTCGCTCACCGCCGAGTATGGGCAAAGAGTGGGCAAAGATGGCCGCCAGCAGACGATCACACACCAGATCTGGCCATGGGTCCTCTGGCTTGTACTTGATCCACAGCCTGGCTGGGACGTCTGCAATTCGGCCACGCGATCCCCACGACAGAAGAGCAGAGGGCCTCCCAAAGAAGACGGAGAACGATGAGGATGAGAACGAGAATACTGGAAACGGGAGGGAGGAGAAGGATGAGGAGGAGGAGGAGAATAAGAAGGAGCAGACTACTGTGAAGGTAAAGGGTGAGGAGGACGGGGAGAAGGATAATGAGGAGGACGAGACGGGGAGGAGGGTCAGGAGGGAAAGAGGGGGAGGGGGAGATAGAAGAGAAGGAGAAAGACAAGGGTGGTGAGGAGACAATGGAAGAGGATGAAGAGGAGGAGTGGGCGGGCGATGATAGGGAGCAGGAGCATCAGCACCGGCAGGAGGCACGGTGCCGCCGTGTGCGTTCCAGCTGCACACCTGCCTGGGAGGGCCATGCATCGGGCACTGCACCTGCTGTGTGGAAGTCCCCTGGAAAGCACACGACCCCTACACACTGCCCGAGCCACGGGTGCCTCAGCGCCGCGACCGCACAGGATGAGAGCCAGCTCGGGCGGAAGGTGACGTGTATGTACTCCGTTGTGACCCGCTCACGCCCAACGAGACAGGCTGCCAACATTGAAATCAAACAATCCTGTAACATCCTGCGTTGCAAGTCAGATCAAGACCTGCTGCTACATGCCACCCATGCTGCGCAACATGCAAGCCCCATCATTTCGCGGTCGCTCGGAGGTGCTGCCTGCAATGTGGAAGCTATCGAACTGCGCGGCGCAAATTGCCATAAGACAGCCATTGGTAAAGAAAGAGCGCGGTTGGAAACACATCGGCATACCACACAGACACCTCGACACACTGACGATCAGCCCACTTGCATAATACCCTAGCGACGCGATGAAGGGCATAATCAACACGTAGATGTCATGTTGCATAGACGACGGCGTGCAGCGTGGATCCGCACCAACCTCCTGCCGCGGCTCCTCCTCCTCCTCCTCCTCCTCCTCCTCCTCCTCCTCCT